AAGGCTGACTTGAAAGCATGATGATGAAACCCTGCGCTTCCTCTGCAAGGGATCCTGGGCAAGGAGAGGAAGGCCGGGGCACAGGGGCAGCCGGGACTTAGGTTAAGCATTTTGGTGAGCATCCTCTGCCCCTCAACTATCATCCTGGGCACCCCTGGGGAAAGAGAACTTAGTCTGGGAGCATGGGGTGATGCTGGTATGGGGGCCACCTGCAGAGCGGGCTTGTCTTTGAAATACATGGTTAGTTGGTGTTCACTTTTCCTTGGCTGGTACCCTGTTGTGCTGGTAGAACCTGGTGTGAGGAGAGCAGGAGACACTTCTGGAGAGAGTCAGACCCTCCCCTCCAGACGCACAACTGAGGGGGGACCTAGAAGGATGGGGTGCGGACCCCCAAGCCTTGCTCCATATCTACCCACCTGGCCAACTCTCTGCTTAATCTCCCTAACGACATCACGATCACGACCACGACCACCCTGTTGTTCGTCGATTGCCTCGAGCAGGTGCCAGTAACGTCTTCTTCGTCCTAGCCCTGAGATTTACCAGTAACAATGATGGGTCTCATTCTCCTAACCCTAACGACATAGACAGGAAAAAAAAATCCTTGCAGCCCTGCCAACTCTGACCCTCAAGGCAACGCTGCCCAGGGATTCTAGAATATTCCAGGTGGTATCGTGGTCAACTGTTTGGTATAATGATAGTATCCTATTTAGACAGGAACAGATCCTCAGGTTTCAGAAAGACATCTTAAAATAATGTGGGGTGAAAGGCCAGAAGCTCTATAATTTTTTCTGGAAATACTTCAGCCAAAAAAGTCAATCATACAAATGTTAATGTTAAAGGTTAATAGTGGTCAAACCGAGGAACTGGGAGGAAATGAGCCAGAAATCCCTACACCGCCTTTCTGCCAACACTACCCCAGCGTTCTTCAACTGTTTTCACTTGCAACCCCTTTTCTCCTGAGAAGCATTTACGCAAACAAGTACATGAAATGGGTCTATAAATCAAATAGTCACTGATAAAGCATCATAAAGAAATTCATTCCAAAACATGTTTTGTAAAAGTGACACCCCACCCTCAAAGCACTTCGACTCAGGGAAGGATTATTTCCATGTTGCTGTATGATTCTCTACTTTTTGTTGCTGTTGTGTGTGTGTATGTGTGGGTCACACTCACTGGTGCGTGGGTGGGGCAGGGGCCACACCTGACTGTGCCGGGGATGAAAGCCAGGACTTTGCACATGTAAAATGTGTGCTCTACTACTTGGCACACCCCCCATACCTCTCTGTGCTTTAAAAATTTATTTGACTGGGCCGAAGCCATAGTACAGCAGGGAGAATGCTTGCCTTGCACACAACTGACTTGGGTTCAATTCCTGGCACCCCTTGAGCGCTGCCATGAGTGATCCCTGAGTGCAGAGTCAAGAGCGAACCTTGAGCACCGCCAGGTGTGGCCCAGCTACAGAAAGAAAAAAAAAATTCGTCTGGCAAGTTTTATACTGTAGTTAAACAACAACAGTACCCATCCTAGGGTGTGGGAATGGGACTGTGTTTCTTCTCTTCTGAAATCCACAAGGGGTGGGAGAAGGTGGACAGATTGCCTCCCTGCTCCTGGGTGCAGTGAGAGCTGCTCTGTGTTGGGCAGTCAGGCGGGAGTGTGGGTTCTGGGAGGCTGAGCAGAAGGGACTGGGACTTTGTTGGGTGCCCAGCCCCACCCCTGCACCCACAGCAGAGAAGGAGCCCAGGCTGGTGGCAGGTTTTACCTAAGTTGGTTTGCCATGGTGATTGCCAGCTTCTGAGGAGGTTTGGCCCTCACCACTTGTCCTTCATCGCCTAGCCCATCACCTCCCTGGACCTGGAACCTCCTCCCTGCCAGCTGCCTGGCCATGCCATCTCCCCTCTCACCTCTAGGACTCCTGCCTGCCTCGGGGACCCCTGGCTACACAGGGCTCCTGAGCTGGGGAGAAGGGGCAGAACCCCCAGGTCCCTGTTGCCACAGACTCTACCTCACAGAAGCCCCAAATCCTAGCCTGGCTTCTCGTAGAGACTCAGGGAGAAGATCCTGGCCAGCCTCTCACCCAGGCCCCTGTTCTCTTCTCCTCCTTTCCTGACGGGAGGGATGGAGGTGGTCCTGCAGAGACCACGGAGATGCACAAGGGCAACTGGCCATTGCTACTGGGAGACAAGACCCAGCATAGAGCCCTCCTCGAGGAAGATGGAGCCTCGGGATGCTAGGATGGGAGGGCAGCCACCTTGGGGACAACTCACACTTCCAGCACTGGCCCAGGTGGGTGACTGGAGAGGGAGGCTGAAACCTCACGCAGTAACCTTCCCTAATGGCCCGGATGTGGTGACCTGTGGGGGGGCCACTGCAGAGGTGCATCTCCACAGGCAGGATGCTGACAGCCGACAGGTCTTCAGGAGTGGGCGGTACAGCCGCCTCAGAGAGGAGGGAGAGGAGCCCTGCCCCTCCAGCTTCTGCAAGGAGCTGGGGGCCCATGGTTCTGCCAACTGACCAACCAACAGCTCTATGGTCGGGGTGTAAGTGGAAGATTAGTCTGTTTGGCCAGACTCTTCAGGGCATTGGCCTGCCTCCTCCAGGAGCCTTCCCTGATGACAACCCGTGTGTGTGTGTGTGTGTGTGTGTGTGTGTGTGTGTGTGTGTGTGTTTGGGGGCTTCACCTGGCCACCTGTAAAATGGGCTTGGGGAACCTCCAAGAATCTTGAGGTCTCCCCTGTTCTTGGAGATGGTTCATGCATCTCCTGCCTGTATGGGGACCTGCCCATACGGGTCCAGTACCAGTACCTGCCTGCTAGGACTGGGAGGCTATAACATCCCCCCTCTCCCCCTCAAAGACCCTCTCCCAGACCTAAGTTTTTCCTTCTAGGTCATCCCGACCAGCTTGAGACTCTTCCCAGGGCAGAGCTCTGAAAACTGGGGGGGACAAAGTGGTGGTGAAGGTACCCCCACATTCACAGTTCCTGGGCTGAGCACTGCTCTGGGGGTTCTGCAGGTGGTGCAGAGCCTCTGGGCTTGCTCTGCTGTGGGAGGTACAGGGGACAGCCTGCCTGACAGCAGCTTGCAGGCAGACTTCCTTCTCCACTTCAACACTGGTGGTTTTCTTTCCTTTTTTCTGCTTCCCCATTCAGAGATTTCCCTTCCTGGGTAGAGGTCAGGGCACCATAAATAGGAGTGATAAGGCCTGGGCCCTTTCAACTGGACTTTGCAGCTTCTGTTTTTATGATTCTATCATTCACCCCTTCCCCAGTCCCCCCCCCCCCCACACACACACATACCCACACACCTTGGTCCTGCTGCAGAGGACCAGAACAAACATGTGGGAGCTGCTCAGGAGACCAGGAGGGAAAGGGGGCTTCCTGCTCTAGCTGGCCTTCACCCAGTCCTGACCCAGGGGTCTAGTGGGCTTAGAGACACAGGAGCTGAGAGACCTTGGTCCTCAGCCCCTGAGATGGGCAGTGAAGAAAGCTGAAGCATAGGAACAGACAGGTGGGGGCTGAGTGGGCTGGATGGAGCCATCAGGGAAGACTGTCTGGAGGAGGAGGAGCTGGAGTCAGGTAGAAAATAAAAGAAGATCGATAAAGACAAAGGAGCACTTAAGAAGGCAGGCGTGACTGTGTCAGGAAGTGGGGACAGATGTGACCGAGCGTGAGAAACTGTGCCCCGCATGCGCAGAGAAACCTCCAGGGAGGAGGGAACCGGGTGCCAGGGGTTGGTTCTGAGATTCCCGATTCGTTCAAGGAACATATGAGTGGTCAAGGCCCAGTGCTGGGGGTGGTGCAGGGGGCCAAGGAATTTGTGGGTGAGGCCACAAGGCTCAGGGGCAAAACTTGGGGGGACTCTGACTTATGCAGGATGTGGGGGCTCCTGACCACAGTCTGCTCTGGGCACAGGTAACAAAGCTCCCTGCTCACAGTCAGATGGACAATTAGCAAGATGGAAGTGCAGGGGTTCCTCTTGTGGCAGAGGCAAAGGTCAGTGGGTCAGCATGGGAGCAAAGGAACTGAATGATCAGGGCACACTCTGCTCTGCCAGCTGCTAGCCGGGAGCTGGAGGCAGGCTGGAATCCACTGGGATTTTGCACCCAGATTCCTCATATCCGGGTAGGGAAAGAATCAGCGTGTTCGGCGGAGCAGATGAGAGGTGACGGAAGTGTGGCTGTGTGTGTGTGTGTGTGTGTGTGTGTGTGTGTGTGTGTTTGGGGGCTTCACCTGGCCCATCTGTAAAATGGGCTTGGGGAACCTCCGAGAATCTTGAGGTCTCCCCTGCTCTTGGAGACGGCTCCAAGTGCATCTCCTGCCTTGTATAGGGACCTGCTCAGGTGAGTCCTCCACAGACAAGCACATGAGCACCGCGGACCTGGGCGGCTGCCACATCGAGTTAGGGGCGCGCACACACAGAGACCCTTGCGGGGAAGAAGTCGAAAGTGGGAGGAAGGCGGAGGTCCCTGCTTGGTGGCGGGTGGCTCCCGCCCGCCTTTTCGCAGTCCTAAGTAAGGTTGTTATCGCCCGCCCCTTCCCCGCCCCGCCGCGGTCCACTTCAGAGGCCGGGGCTCAGGAAGGGCCGGCCAGCTGCTCTCTCCCGGGATCCCCGAAGCCCCTTCCTTTCCGGATCCTGGCACCCGCACAGCCCTGCGTGTTGCCGTCACCCCCCGCATTGGAGTACACACCCGGCACCGGGCCCGGCACCCGCACAGCCTCCCTCCCTCCCACCCACTCACCCACCCAGGCGACCTCCCGCCTGCTCCCGGGGCTCCCGCCACGCACACCTGCAGCCCGCGCGTCTCGCAGGCTGCCCGGGGTTAGGGGACCCGGCACCAGGGCGCCCGCACTCCTCCGCGCTCCCAATCTGTTGGGGGCGCGGAGGCGGGGAGTCGGTGCTGCTCCCTGCGTCCCCTTTGCACAGACGTGCACCCCAGACGGCGGGGCTCCCGCCGCCCCCCGCGCTGCCCCGCGCTGCCCCGACCCCGCGGGGCGGACACTCACCGAGGGTCCGCGGGCGCAGGCCAGGGCGCCGAGCAGCACGCAGAGCCAGGGGGCCGGCGGCAGGCGCGGCGGGCGCATGGCTGGCCCCGAGCCCGCGGCGGGCGGCCCCGCGCGGGTCCAGGGCGGGCGCACAGCGCGGCCGACGTGGGTGAGGCCAGCCGAGAGCTGCGGCGGCCGCCGGGGCCCCGCCGCTAAGAGGCGCCTCCCGGGGGCCGAGCCCCGGGGGCTCGCCTGATGGGCGGCGGGCCCAGCCAATGGGCCTGCAGGGGCGGGGCTGCGGCGCAGGTGTGGGCGGGGCCGGGGACGCCCCTGCAGCAGCTCGGAGTCCCGGGGGCGTCCCGGCGGGTCCCGTGGCGCGACGTGCGGACGGACCTTCCTCGCCGGACTCCAGACCCCCGAGAGTTTCGAGACCCCAGTCCCTCGCCGCCGTCCTTCCCTGCTCGGTCCACCAGCACGTTGCCCAGCGTTTGATTGCGCCCTCCCAGCCCCGCACGCTCCCCCCCACACCCGGTCCCCATCCCTTTGTCACCTTCACCTTCCGAGACCGATGCCCTCGACGACCGCGCCCCAAAGGGCTGGGTCCGACCGGACAGGTCACTCCGGACACCTCCCCGCGGTTGCCGTCTGAGCCCGGCACGGGGTCTCGGGCCAGAAGCCACCGGGTACAGGAGGGGCTCATTGTTGAATTGGTTCATTTTTTTTTCCCTCTCTCTCTCTTTCTCTTTTTGGTTTTTGGGCCACACCCGACTGTGCTCAGGGCTCACTTCTAGATTCTGTGCACAGGGCTCACTCCTGTGGGGGGGGGCTCGGGGGATTCTATGGTACCTGATACCTCCCACGGCTGCCGTCTGCGTCCGGTCCGGGGTCTCGGGCCAGAAGCCACCGGGTACGGGAGGGGCTAATTGTTGAATTGGTTCACTTTTTCTTTTTGGTTTTTGGACTACACTCGATTGCGCTCAGGGCTTACTCCAGGACTCTGTGCTCAGGGCTTACTCCTGGGGACTCGGGGGATCCTAAGGGGGGCCGAGCCCGGGTCGGCCGTGCGCAAAGCAAATGCCCTCCCCGCCGTGCTCCCGCTCCAGTCCCCGGCACAGGCTGTGCTCTAGGAGCAGTTCAAGGTTTTCGGGGTCGCGCCAGGCGCGCCCGGGTGTGAGGGGCGCCGGATGGGCTCCTGGGCTCCGGCGGACCGCAGGGTCGGGTGCGGCGGGAAAGGCGTGTCCGCGCCCTCGAGCCTCGGGCTGGGGCCCACGCAGGAGGGAGGCCCGGCCGGAGTGCCAGCGCCCCCACGCGGGGAGGGAACGCGCGCGCGCCCGAACCGGCTCCAACCCAACCGCCACCTCCTGCTTCTATTTTGCAGCCCGCGCCGCGTGCCTCTGGGGCCTCCTGGTTCGCCGCCTAGCGTCTCCGGCCCTGGGTGACATGGGGCCAACTTGTCTGCACCGCCAGTCTTTGGGGATGAGTTTAGGGGCCTCAAATGAGGCGCAGGCTCACAGGTAGCACAGGGCTCACTTGATCTTGTGGACCACCAGGCGCTGCCTTCCATCCAAGCGCTGGAGTGGCGATGCTGGCAGTGCGGATGGCGTTGGCGATGGGTGGGTCGGATAGGGTCTGGGGTAGGGAGGGGTTCGGTGGTGGAGAAACAGAGAGGGCTGGCCAGGAACGTGTAGCAGAATGTGCAGCTGCATGAAGGAGGTCCACCTTGGGACGGCTCAAGGCAGGTGTGTCAGAGTTTAGAGCAGACACAAGGGACTGACCCCAACAGCGCTGGAAACATGGGAGCGGGCCTGCAGGTGCTGGGGGTGGGTGCAGTTAGGGGAAAGTATGCTGAGACAAGTGCCCAGCTTCTCAATTTCAACTTTTTTTTGGGGGGTGCAGGATCTTCTTCCCTCCCTCCCTCCCTCCCTCCCTCCCCGCCCCTCCCTTCCCTTCTCTTCAATCTCCTTTCTTCCCTCCCCTTCCTTCTCTTTCTCCTTTCTTTCTTTGTCCTTTCCTTCTTTTCTCCTTCCCTTCCCTTCCCTTCCCTTCCCTTCCCTTCCCTTCTCTCCCTCCGTCTTTCCTTGAGTATATATCAATATTTTATTGTGTGCCAAGCTCAGAGCTGTACCCTGTGGCTTTTCTTGCCAGAGGAGGACCCAGGAGCTGTCAAGCACAGTTTCTGCTTTTTTCCGGATATGATCTAGAACAATTTCCCTCCGTGTGGTGGCTGTGGGAGGCCACTGTCCTGGCCACGCTGAGGTTCACCTCCATGGCCGCAGGGGAAGAAGTGTTTGAAGAATCACCTGTCTCCTCAGTCACTCCCACTTCTGAGGATTCTTGCCGCCTCTTGTGACTCTGTTACCAATCCTTCTGAGTGGGAGAGAGAGTCGGGGGGGGGGGGGTTGTCTTGTATGCAGCTGGACCCAGTTCAATCCCTAGCACTCTTATATGGTCCCCTAAGCCCTGCCACAAGTAACCCCTGAGCACTGTGGGGTGTGCCCCAACCCCCTTCCCCAATACCCTTTCAGGTCTCATCTTTGCAGTGACTCAGAGCTTCTGTGTTCCCAGGGATGATTTCTGCAGGCAGTTAGGAGCCCTCCAAGTGCATGTCATGATGCATCCAAAGGGTTGGCCTTGGTGGTCTTACTGAGCTGCTGCTTGTTCTAGTCCCTGCCAGCTGCAGAATGCCCACATTCTATTCTGTGCTGCCCCCCTGGCCCATGGAAGTTCTGTTCTCTCTGGGCACAAGGCTCTGGGGCACTTGTGAGAGCCCTGAGGCAAGTGGACTGGGTGGAGGAGAAACCCACAGCTGTGGGTTTGTCGTGACTCTGGTGCCTGGTCCAGCAGTGGCTATGGCAGGAAGAACAGGGATTGATCCTAAGACAAGGGCATGTGTGTGTGTGTGTGTGTGGGGTGGCTCCTGTCCACAAGACACCTATCCTGAGCCTGAGACACACTCGGCAAGTCTGCGGGGAGTGAGCATGTCTGGGAGGGGCTGGAAGGAAGGCAGCTAAGGTGGTTGTCATGCAAACACCTGCTGCTACCATCACTTCTTTTGCTCTTTCCAGATTGTTCCCTGGTGAGCCCCCTCCCACCCCACTTCCTTATTTATCACAGGACATTCAGCCACACCAAAGCCCTCCAACTAGAAGATTCAACCCAAGGTAAACGTGACCAAGTTCCAAATGATGATTACTGCATATCTAGTCCTGAGGCTCTGGGAGACTTTCCGTGGGCCACTCTTGGGCAAGGGGTGTCCCAAGATGGAGAGGGCATGTGAGGAGGAAGTTCACCATTCACCTGACCTGCTCCTTGGGTGGGCATTGGAAATAGCAGGGGTGTGTGTGTGTGTGTGTGTGTGTGTGTGTGTGTGTGTCTGTCTGTCTGTCTGTCTGTCTATGTGTCTCTGTGTGTATTGGGGGGGATGGACTTGAGACTGTTTTCCATTTCCACACCCTGTCCAGAGCCCCCCAAGAGCTGGTCTTTGTCTTACTCATCTAGCCATCCCTGTCCCCTTCCCCTCCCTATCCTCTCTGCAGTGATTCCTCCTGGAGCAAATTTGTTGCGAGTTTCTCCTGCTTCCCAGGTACATCTCCCAGTCTCTGGCCCAAGTCCCATCTCCCTTCAAATGCCAGGAATCACTGGGGTGCAGAAAGAAAGTGGGAGGGGGACGGAGGAGCGGGTGGAAGCGCCACTGGCACCCCTGTGATGACAGACACGGGGGCAGGGAGAGAAGCCACAGCTCCTCACTCAGAGCCTGATGCTGGCTTCCTGCCTCCCTGCTGTGGGGGCCGCCCTGGTCTCCCCTCACCCCCCAAGTCGTGCACCCCAGGTTTCAAAGCTCCCAGTTCTGGAGCTGTATGGTGGGAGGTTCTATTCTTGGTTTGGTTTCTGGACCTTAGCCAGCCGTGCTTAGGGCTTCCCTCTGGCTCTGTTCAGGGATCACTCCTGGAGGGGCTCAGGTATGTGGTAACTGGATTGGCCCCTGGTGGGAGGCTCTATGGGAGGCAGGAGGGCAGCCGGTGGGGGGCTGGGTCTTGGGATGCCAGTGGGGACCCTGACTGGGCTGCAGGGGAGAGTGACTGTTTTATTAACTCTTTCCAGAGCCATCCACTGCTCAGTGAGCTCAGCCCAGAGTGTCCTCTTTGGGCTTCTGAGTCAATTGAGGGGCCTCAATGTAGGGTTTTATTTACCCAAATGAGTGTGGGCAACAACCTCCCTCAGCCTAAAGTGCTCAGGCTGCATTTCTTTCTTTTCTTAAATTTAATTTCATTTTTATAAAGCGGTTCACAATAAATTTATTACATTTAATATACCAACACCAATCCCGCCACCATTACACTTACCACCACCATGTTTTGATTGTTTCTACCCCAATCCCCAAAGTCTGCCCTCAAAGTAGGACCTAAATACTTTATTTTATATTACTCATTATGAATAAACTACCTAAAAATGATCCAAATAAGTTTCCTTAAAGGGAAGTGTGTGAAGATTGTTGTATTTCACCCTGGCACCTAATCATTAAGCCCTTCTCTTGGCACAACCATGACGCAGAGTATGAGATGTCTACAGGAATTCAAAAATTTTAAATACAGTGACACAGCTGAGGTTAGTTGCTCTTTTGTTGCTCTCTTCTGAGAGATTTATTTGTGAGTCTCTGGATCATGAACATCAATGAGCTTATATGGTGCCAGAGGCAGTTCCTGGGTGTGACTCCCAGGCTCCAGGTATCATGGGGAGATGGGGGGAGGTCACCTATTCCCAAGTCCATGCAAGCCTGGAAATTTGGGTCACAAGTCCTGCATACTTGAGTTTTTTTTTTAGCAGATTCACTCATGGATGAGGTTCATATGAGCCTGTGGAAATAGGCTGTGAGCATGGCGGCAATTGAATTCTGAAGGTTTTTGGCTGCTGGGGCTCTGTTGGGGTGGGGAGGGGGTGAAGAGAAACTCACCCAGCCCCCCCCTCCTTCAGGTTGCCCCAGATGAGATAGTCAGGCTGAATTTCCTTGGGTTCCATTTCACAGGTTCCTCCTGGGAAGAAAGGCATCTTAACTCCAAAGGAAGGTTTTGAAGTGCTGAAGAGTGATGCCCCAACCTCTCTGTGAAACTCATGGAGTCATGTCATTTCCTTCTCTAC